GTAGACAACCAGTGTCTTGTCACCTCGAATGGACATCGTGATTTCAACCTCGGAGTCGAGCTGTGGATCGATCTCAGCAAGCCATGCGCTACCAAAGGAAAATAGAGTTTCAATTTCAGCAGGCAGCATTGCAGGGTCATCTTTCAAGATACCAAGCTCTTGCTTGTGAACACTGCTGCTCCCCACGTTTGCCACGTGGTCATGGTGGGGCATGCGCCCCACTCCAGAGCCCCACCTGCCGCGCGAGAGGCATTATGGGAACAGATCGGGAAGCTTGCGGGCCAGCATCCCACCTCTCGGCTTCTTGGATGGCAATGCTCGGATGGTTGGAGACTGCGCGGGGGCTCAGGAAGAGGACCAAAACGGGAGGGCCTTACACCAGTGGCCTGCCGAAGCTCAATTGTACACCGTCAGCACTCTTCATAGGGACAGACAGGCCTGCACTTGGGTCAGCAGGACTAGTCAAGGGCACCATATCGATTGCTTTATTGTTTCCATCCAGCTGTTGCCGTCCATGTCTGATGTCGGGGTCATTTGTGAGATTGATCATGCTGGGGAGCAAGGAGGCGGGGGATCTAAGTTAAAGCATGACCACCCGCGTTTAGACCCCGTCAAGCTCAAGAACCCCCAATGTGTGTTCGCGTCGGATTTAGGGAAAAGGTTGCTAACATGCCCCTTTCCGGATGGAACAACGAGCTCAATGAACACTTGAGGGGGGTCAACGAGGATGTTTGGGCAGCTGCCAAGGTTGTCTCTTCAGGGATCGGGTTGGGAAAACCCTACCTTCAGGGCAGCACGCTCACGCTTGCGAGGGTGCGCAGGGCTGCTTGGAGAGTCCTCCATCTCATTAAGGCTTGCGAGAAGAAAGAGAAAGTGGCTTGCCCCTCCCCACTCCCTGCCTGCCTCTCCCTCGCCCATCTCCACCCCCACCAAGTCCTGGGTGGGACCTGCCTTTGCGATGGCGCAGAATGCCAGAAGGGGGCACACGTATGGGGAAGCTAAGAAGAAGGGGGAGGGCAGCTGGGTGGAGCTCTTCTCTGTTCTTGCCGAGGGAGCTGGGGAGGCGACAGATCAGGAAGCACGGGTGGCTGTTACACCTCACCTCCTTTGTCTCTGCCTCCACCCCTCTTCTCCACCAAGCCGTCAGCGCCGAGTATGCCAAATTCCTTCAGGACAAGGCCAGACAGGTGTGCGTTTCCCTGGATGGGAAGATGTCTGGGAGAGCTTGGAGAGAGTTGGGGGTTCTGCTTAGGTGTGCTGGGAAGAAGAAGAACCCCATCCTCCCGCCAATGCGACTGGACGCAGCTGGGAAACCGCTGGTCACGGCGCCTGGGGACACCCATGAGTTGCAAGCTCACTTTGCTGCTCAAGAGCAGGGGAGATGTGTGGGCACCGACACGCTTCGCAGATAATAGGATACCCAGGGGCCTGGCCCTTCCCTCGAAGTTGATGAGCGGATGTGCAACATTATGTCCAGGGCCCAACTCAGACATGCTACGAGGACTGTCTCCGACGGCAAATCCCCAGGTCCAGAAGGGTTGTAAGGAGGGATCTCTGCTGCCGATCCTTAAGAGCTTAGTAGGTTGTACCACCACAGCATGGTCAAAACTAAGATTGCTCTGAGGGAGCCTGCTAAGTGGAAATGTGGTTTCCTCGCTGCCTATAACAAAAGGGAGGTGATGCCAGGTATGCCAAGGCGCAGAGAAGTATGCATCAGTGCAATCAACTCGTCAAGTTTCATCATGCCTTCGTCAAACAGAAGGCGTGGAGGCACATTGCCCCGTGCCTCTTGGAGTCGCAGAGTGGGGGGCTTCCTGGGAAATCCACGGACTTTACTACCCGCTTCGTGCGCAACATGCTTGATGAGTAGGCCTGCGCGCGTCTCGTCGTTTGTGCTTCTGGTCGACCTCTTGGCGCCTTTAAGGTTGTCAAACAAATTGGTGCGTCCTTGCCCCACGACCAAGACGACCTCATGCAGGCCCTCAGAGCTGCCGAATTGCCGCGTGCCGTCCTTGCCTCGGTGCTGGCGCACCTCCAGAGCACTCCCATCCTCGAGCGTGAGATCACCGGTAAGCTCCTGGTGATGCTGTTTGAGGGGAAGCCAGCAGGGGGGATGGTGGTTTATGAAAGCAGCCAGCTCGTTTGTGAAGCCTGTGCGTGGCACTGGGCGGCCAAGATTGGAGCCATGGATTTGTTCAATGTTTCCTTCGCCCCTCTCATCAAGTCGCAAAAAAACCTCATGAAGAGTGATGGGCTTGCTTGGAGGCCCCAGGCCAGGGATGAAGGGCAAACAATTATTTTCCCTAGGAAAGTTGATTGGGAGAAATTGCATAGCTCTGCCTCCTTTGTCGATGACCTTTCCATTATTGTTGGAGCTCTCGCCCCTCTCAGCTCATGGGATGTGCCTCGAAGGCGCTTGACGTTCTCTCTCAAAATGCGGCGGCTTTGGGGCTCGAAGTTAATAATGGCATGACGGTTTTTGTTATTCTTAGGTATGTCGGCGAGGGCTATAAAGAAACTCGCGTGGACCATTTCTTGCAGCGAGAGCAAAGGTCACGGGAAGGAGGGGGGGAGAGGCTGTGCCCATTGTGCGAGTGCAATAAGTTCTGGGTAGCATGGTCATGGACTCTGGGGAGATGTGCGCCGAAATTGCACATCGCGCTTCCACGGTTTCCCCTGAGTGCCGACACACTGCTCGCGTTGCCAGGAGCCACAATTTCATTTGGCGAGCAAATTGCTTTCCAATGCGGCCGTCTGGAGGCCTCCTCCGAAGAAGCTTTTCCAAAGGGCTGCAGATTTTCATGTTAAGATCTACCGTCTCTGTCTGGGACTGCCATTGACCAACCATCAGACCGAGAGATTCACGGCCAAACGTGTGCTCCTCAAGTCCGACAGGTGTTCGCTTGGTGTGGTGTTGTCTGTTGCGAGGCTTCGCTATCTCGTCCGCCTCCTCCGCTCCGCCCCCCCTAGCTGCGGGTCGCGCTTGACACTCTCACGGGCGACTCAAAGTACTGGCCCTCCCTAGCTTTTTAAAGATCTTGAGTGGCTGTTTCGTTTCGCGTTAAAATCTAAGGTTCATGGGACCCGTGCTCGTGGGGACTGGTTTCAGACCACTCGGGCCTCTCCTAGAGCCTTCCTCGTTCTGGTTAAGAACGCGGCCATGCCGCGCAAATTTTCCAGGCGAAGACCTACTTGGCTCAGGTGCTTGATCAAATGCTCGCTGACCTCAACAAGGGAACCGAGACTGAACTGTATGAGCTTCGTGAGCGCCCCAGCGGGGGAACTGATTTTTGTTATGGGCGCGGTTTCTCTTCCCGGTCAAGGCAGGCGTTTGCCGCCCACACTGGCAAATACCTTGGGAGAAAGGAGAGCAGTCTCACGTTGGCTGTCGGCACAATTTGTCAGGTTTGCCTCGCTGGGTATCACACGCCTGGCAGGCTCACTAAGCATCTTGTGCGCACCCCTGCCTGTTGTCTCGCGTGGAAGGCCTGGCCTAGCAAGCCTTCTAGCAAAGAGGTGACGTATTGAAGAGACCTGGAGAATGAGACTCCGATGAAGAAATGAGCCGCCCACTTGCACGAGCATATCGCGCATTTCCCATCTCTGAAGCTCAAGGGACCTGGCATTGCTCCCCGCTCCGATGGCTCGTTCACCCCCCTTGTGAATCAGGGCCCGCTCGCTGATGCTGGTCCCACTCCTCGCTCTCAGTCCCCCCCCGCGGACCCCTTCGACTCCTTCCTGTAAGTTTGTGCTGCATCTGTTCCCGGGGCACAGGCAGGAAGGAAACCTCCAGGAGTTTTGAAATGGCAGCATGAGACAAGACAATTGTCGCATTGTCACGCGCCCGCTTGATGTTGCAAACGATCCCCACATGGGGGACCTCACGAAACATGACGTGGTGGATTGTTGGATCCAAATGCTCCGTGAGGGCAGGATCTCTGGGGTGGTTGCGGGCCCCCCGTGCGAGACGTGGTCGAGCGCCAAAGTTTGCCAGCTCCCCGATCGTCCTCGTCAGCCACGGCCAGTTAGGTCTCTCAAACTGCCCTGGGGGATCCCTGCCCGTAAGCCTCGGGAGATGGAGCAGGTGCGTCTGGGCAACGCTCTGCTTCGCGACACCATGTGGTCTGCACCATGCGTTCCCGTACAAAGTCCCGCTATCATGGAATATCCTAGCACCAGTGTGTACCGCCCCCAAGCCCTACGAGGACGCTGAGAGAATTGCAGGTCCTTTATGGTAAGACCAACGTCGATATTGTTCATTTGAATCAATTCATGTTCGGAGCCAGTTACAAGAAGAAAACGAACCTGCTTGCAGAGTGCTGCTCCTCTTTGCGTCGTTTAGTTAATTCCTCCCGCGGTGCGGGCCTGTGTGACGGTGCTCAAACCCATCAGATTCTCCAAAGGTTGGAAAAGGATGGATCATGGCACACTGGGAAAATTGAGAGTTATCCGCCTCGCCTCTGCCAGTTCCGTGTCTCAAGCCTTGCAGAGGAAATACTCCTGCGAGACGGGTGCGTGCGCAGAGGAGGGGGGGGACCAGTGGGACATTTCTGATGCTGTGGTCCCCATTGTTTGTGCCGCTCGACCCCTATCTCAAACGCGAGGGGGGCGATTACTATATGCTCAGGAATGCGAATGCCCACATCGACTGAGATGGCGTTATCCCTCTTCGCCCGCTTCCTCTCTGCCCGTTTTCTCCCCCATCCCCTTTTCTCCAGGACAGGCAGCGGACACTCACATGCCTTCAGAGTCGCGCCGAGTCGAGTCGAGGAGGAGGAGGAGGAGGAGCAGCAACAGCAGCAGAAAGAGGAGGGGAAAAAGGGCGGAGAGGGGTGGGCGGGAGGACGGGGGGGAGAGGGAGAGAGGGAGTCGGGGAGGGGGCAGTAGTCGGGGAGGGGGAAGAGGGACGAGCCACTCCTTGATGCCGAGGCGAGTCGGTTTGCTCGCTCGGGCGACGCAATTCCCAGCAGCCACAGCGGGGCGGGGCCCGCCCGCCCGTCCTCCGTCATGGCTCGGAGCGGGTGCTTCACCATCGCCGTCCTGTGCCAGAGAGGCGGCACTCGCCCTCCTGCTTTTCTCTCTCTCTCTCTCTCTTTCTCCCTCTATCTCTCTCTCTCTCTCTCTGCCTGTCTCCCTCTCTTGCTTCTCTCTCAAGCGCACGCCGCAAAAACAACAAACGAAGAGTCGAAAGGACGAAGCTTAGGCAGGGCGCGCGGGGGCGCGCCTGTGCGGTCGTCGCCTCCTCCCTCTCGAGACGTGCTGCGCTGCTTTCCAGCGGCACGGGCGCGAGGCCGAAGCGGGCGGCTGCAGCCGCCAGGCTCCACCGCTCGACATCTCGAGCCCCCCCCCCCGCCAGTCCCACCCCCAGCCTCGCCCCCCAACCCTTACCACGAAGGGAGCAAAAAAGGTTCCAGGGGACAAGCCAAGGACCCGGAGGACGAAGGGAGTGGCCCGCTGGCTGACCCTGCGGGCCCAGCCACGATACGGCGGGGACCAAGCGGGGAAGCGACCACGGGCAACTCTGCCAAGCTGCTGGCGGCGTTCCTCCGTGGCGGCTCTTCGCGGGAAGACCTGGCCCAGGCGTTCGAGGCCTCCGCAACTGTAACCTTCACGGCGGGCGCCAAAAAGTACAGCGCTACCAAATTGGAGGGGGAGACTATCTGGGCCGAAATCAGCCTTACGAACTGAGTGACCAGCTAGAGACACTGGCTTGGTGAGCTCATCAGGCTTCCTGGGCCTCCGCCCAGCGCCGTTGCTCTTGGGCAACAAGGGAAGGCGAAAACTGCGTCGCGGAATATGTCCGAGCTCTGGTCTGGCAACTCGTCGGCATCGCGAACATTGCGGTCGGCCACGAGCGCCTCTTGCTCACCAGCCCAGCGAGCTGCCTGGCGCGCCGCTTAATCAGACTTCCGCGCCTTTCCCGATACCCCACAGGGGCGGCACGAGGGCGGGCGGACCCGCGCACGCAGCAGGCCCAAAAACGGGAGAAGGGGAACAAAAACAACAACAATCCAAATGCCGCGCAACAGCGATGCAGGGAAAACTGCACTGCAAAACGAGACATCTGCAGCGCAGAAAGGGGAAGCGGAACGGCCCTGCGGCCGCCGCGCGGACAGCCTCGCCACGGCGTGGCGCACACAAAAAACCAGGCGCAGCATGTCTTCTCCCTAGCAGGGGTATCATTGAAGGCCACACGACTAAGGATATCCTCCTGTTTGCCAGCCCCCTCTCTACGCACCCACGAGAACACTGGTGCCCTGGTTTGCGGGGCCGAAAACACGTGTCCCAACACGTCGATTGCAAGGGTTCCAAAGAGGGGATATCGCTCTCGTTTCAAAGCAGCATCTGTTTCTTGCACGTTGCACCCCCTTGCTGGCGCGGCGCGCATGTTTGCCTCGAGCCCAGGATTGTGCCGAGCATATTCCAGCGGGAGGGTTCCCGAACATTCTGGATCATATGGCGCGCTGGCGCACGCGCCTGTCACATCGAGCTGCCGCGCGCAGCCACAGTCGCGCATGTCGGGCCGACTCCTGCCCCCCCCCCCGCACATGTAACTCGCACTGGAGGCCCTCCTGGGGGCCCAGCTCTTGAGGTCCCGTGGAGAGAATACTGAAGTGTCTCGGGGGCGTGGGCGGAGGCTTGAGGGCCATCTTGAAGAGGAGCTGATACTACAGGAAAGAAGCCCATTTGACGCCTCCGTTGGACCTCCAAGCACGAGGAGCGCCAGATGAGATCCCACGGAAGATCCTGGAGAGCGTGGGAACCCGCCCCAGAACCGAAAAGAACATTGTCTGAAGGTTTTTACTGTACGGGTTCCGAGCGGGCGACATCGCTGTGGCTCCAGCGCCAAACACTTGCTCCTCGCATGTTGCGCACCGCCCTGGCCGCGGCGAATATTCCTGCTCCGGGCTCGGCGAGCTCGTGAGATGTTGTGCCGAGATTGTTCTAGCGGAGAGCTTCCGGAACGTTCTGGAACATGTGACGCGCAGGCCCACGTGTCTATCGCGTCGAGCTGCTGCGCGCAGCCATCGCTGCACCTTTGGGCCGGCTCGCGGCCCCCTCGCTCGTGGACGTCGTCTTGGTCTTGGGGGTCCTCCCGGCTGCTCGCGAGGCCTCTCGGGGACTTCCTGGGGCGCTCCGAGTACGTGGGGGGGGGTCTCGAGATATATTTCGGAATGGAGTTGGCTAAATAGGAGGCCAGCCCCCAAGGAGAGGAACGCCAGGTGAGATCCCATGGACGACCTGAAGAGCATGGTGCACTTTCCTGAGGCCGACAGAACCCTTGTCCCAAAATCTCGGCTGCCACTTCGGCCAAACGTTCCCCCGTGCGTGCCATGGGGAAAGCTTGTGCTGTGCCGTGTGTGGTGTCTCTGCGTGCTGTCCCTGCCCTGGGCTGCGCATAGCACTTCCAGGTGGACGTGGCGCAGCGTCGCGACTGTCCATGTCGGCGCGCGGAGTGTGTCTAAAGTGCTGATGTTTTAATGGTGTCGCCAGGTACCCACCAAGAACTGTGCGACCAGTCGGACGTGGCTCAGCGTCGCGACTGTCCGTCGCAATACCAGAAATGTGTACAAGGTGTGTGGGACAATTGCGAAACTGTCGCGCCACGATCACGATCGAGCGGACGAAGAACATCATCTGGATCCGGGTCGGTGTCGGAGTCAGGCATCGGGGTATCTTTGGCGACGATCGCCACCGCACCTAAAACTAAAGCATCTGAGGCAGGATACTGGATACTAAGAAGGCGCTGGGTACATATTATCTGCGGGAGCCCGCGCAGACCTCTTGGTGTTTGAGCCACCACGCAGCGTGGCAGCACACCTCTCTCCCGCACTCCCACAAGTTCTCGGCATCGGCCCGAGGTTTGCAGCCGCGCCGTGCCGTGCCTACGTCAAGCGTGTCCTGCAGGCCTGGACGGGCGTCCTCGCCCGCCTCGGGACCGCGTGCTCCGCCCTCCCACCCCCTGTCAGGATGTTCCACTCTTCTCACGATCCCTGGGTTGAGAGAGTTGATAGCTTGTGTGCGTCCTGTGGTAGGTATTCGATTTATACGATTCCAGGCCGCTTCTGAGGTTATGTGCAGCCGAGCAGTTCGGAGGCCATGGCTTGGTCAAACCTCAGTACACGTCGCTGGTGAGATTCCAGCAACGCCGCTCCCCCAGGTGCGGTGTCAGAAGTTGGGGTGGCAATGCGGCATTGTGCCGCCCATGTCTATACCCTTCCTGTTGTTAGACGGATCCTTATGTTATGGTATGAGTCATGCCTTCGATCTATGTTTGCTTGCTGCTTCAAACAAAAAACCCTTCACCTCGTCACGAAAAACCTCCAGAGAGCCCCGACATCATGGAAACACACCCAAGAAACGTACGTATCCTCCCCCTCCTCATCGCTTGTCCTCCTCCTCCTCCTTCTCCTCCTCCTCTTCCTCCTCCTCCTGTTCCTGTCCCTCCTCTTCCTCCTCCTCCTCCTCCCCGGTCGATATTCCTCCTCCTCCTCCTCCTCCTCCTCTTCTTCCTCCTCCTCTTCCTTCTCCTCCTCCTCCTCATCCTCCTCCTCATCCTCCTCCTCCCCATCATCATCATCATCATCATCATCATCATCATCATCATCATCATCATCATCATCATCATCATCATCATCAGCAGCAGCAGCAGCAGCATCATCATCATCATCATCATCATCATCATCATCATCATCATCATCATCATCATCATCATCATCATCATCAGCATCATCATCATCATCATCATCATCATCATCAGCATCATCATCATCATCAGCATCATCACCATCACCATCATCATCACCATCATCATCATCATCATCATCATCACCACCACCACCACCACCACCACCACCATCATCATCATCATCATCATCATCATCATCATCATCATCATCATCATCATCATCATCATCATCATCCACCATCTCCCAGGTGCCTTTGGCGCCGCGGCCCCGCCCCCCCCAGCCGTATTGCCTGAGAGCGGGCGCCGCGCCCGTGGCCATGGCCCCCACGCCAGCTGCCCGCACGCCGCGGGCGCTCGTTCTGCATCCTGGAGCGCAGGTCGCGTTCCCCAGCCCGGCACCGCCGCGCGCGGCGGCAGCGAGCGCAGGCGCGGTCCGCCTTGCGTCTCGCGGCCGCTCGCGCCACGCTGGCTGGACACCGCGGCGAACGCCCCCGAGCTGTCGTCGGCGCCGGCGCGGACGTGTCCACGCCACCTTGGCAGACTGCTGCAGGACAGCAGCGGGCGTGCGCGGCCACCCGTGTCTGCGGGTTTGGACCAACTTCGGGTCGCGCACCACCTGCTACAAATGCGGCCGTGACAAGCTTGGGAGGCGGCAGGAGGTCGAAGAATCCGCCTCCAGCAAGCCGCCCTCGTCTCGGCCCGCTTCTGTTGGCCGCCGCCGCCGCGCTGCACCTGGGGATGCTGGCGCCCCCCCCGCTGCCAGCGCCGCTGAGCCGGCGGCCAGCCCCGCGATCCAGCGAGCGCGCCAGGGACTGCAGGCCCTGCGCAAGCTGCAGCATGGCGATGACCACCCACTGGTCGCAGCAGCTCGCGAGGACCTTGCGAGGCTCGAGGCAGAAGAGCGCATGGCCCAGCCTCCCGAGGTGCTCCTATGCAGCCTCCAGAAGCGCCTCGACGACGCCAAGGCCAACCACGGCCAGACCACCGAGGCCTTGGCGACGGCGACGGCCGAGGTCAAGCGCCCCACCAGCTCGCTGGCCCAGTGCGAGGCAGAGGCGGCAAGCATCGAGGCCACGATGGCGGATGCGCGCCGCGCCGTGGCGGCCACGGCGTCTGCCCCAGCTGGCGACCAGGCAGGTCTCGCCACCGCGCTGGTTGGCCTCCAAGCGCCCCTCGGTAATGCCCAGTCCACGGTTGCCAACGGCCAGGGCGTCCAGCTGCCGAAAGCCACCCACAGTCAGGTCCTGGCAATGGGCGCGGCCCCCCCTGCCCAGGCCTTGCAGGAAGCCCCCGGCGCGCCTGGCGCTGCCATGTCGGCCAGCCCAGCCGCGGGCGCTGCTGCCGCCCCTGG